TGTTCCATAGATGTTTCAAATAATTGCTCTAGAAAACTAGTTGTATGGACACAGATTTTTAGTAGATAATTCTGATAATGCTTTTAATTTCTAAGTAATAATAGCTGTCATTTATTGGATGCTTATTATTATGTGACAAAAGCTATATGACTACTTCATACACCTCATCTTATTTCATCCTCAGAAGTAGGTGTCATTTATAGTCATCTGAGAATGTTATTATTGTTTCCATCTTACACATAAGAAAATTGAGGCTTTGAGAGGGTTCATAGCCAGACCAAGCTCCTGCAGAGAAAGAGTTGGGATATGAACCCCAGCTGTCTGACTCCAAGTTATCTGCCTTTAGCAGCAAGATATCATGCTGCTTCTCAAACTTTTTCTTGTTATTTTGATCCGCTTTTAAGTTTTCTGTGCTTTATGGAATCAATTTTGTTAATTTATAGTATTCTAGGAAATCATTAATTTTACTGAGATTTCATTTTTTAAAAACCCTTAGAAAGTCTCACAATTCCTGAACGCTGTTTCTATGGGTATATTTATTCATTATAAGTTTGGTTTATTTATGGTTTCTCCTTTTCTTGATTATTCAAAACTGCATATTAAATTAGGAGAGAAAAGTCTAGTAATATGGAAGAGAATGTGTAAAATTAAAATTAGAAACAAAGTTTCTTTTCTTTTAAAATATTCTGTTTCCATCCACCTTTGTTTCCTTTTTCCCTTCTCTACCCTAGCCTTTAAAGAACAGAATGTTTAGGGCTAGAAAGAGCCTTAGCGGTGCTTTGCTGGCCCCTAATTCAGCGGGGCCTAGAAAGGACCTCTACCTGTCCCAGGTCACACGGTTGGAAAGAGCTGGGAGAAGCCAGGTTCTCGGCTTCCTGTCTAATTCTCTTTCCCCCATTTCATATGCCATGTTATATTTCAAATTATTAATTTTTAAAACAATAAATTAATGAAGATTGCAAAGTAATCTTTATAGAGCTTTAAAAATGTTAAAGCTTTTTAATTTTAAAAGATTGATAAAGTCAGCTTAACAGTTTTGATTGCAATTACTTCAATCTATATGATTTTCATATAAATCCTCTTCTATTGTGCTCTTGTTTGAAACCACTCTTTCTAGAATGAATCTATTCAAAGAAATCATGGCGTCAGGCAAGAAAAGGCCCATCTCTAGTATTTTACTTCTGATGTTATGCTGCATTACTAGGCCATGAGAGAGCTCCTTTATCAGTAGAAGGGGAAATAATAAAAATGAAATCCACCCTAACTGGGGGTCTCAGGATTTCTACCCAGATCCAGCGAGAATGGAAGAAATGCTATTAGCATTCTGCTGAAGTGTGGATTTGAGGCACCTGGCCAGGTACTGCATTAGTTTGGGTCTGGGCATCAAAACCCAGCAACATGAAAGAGGGCAGGGCAGTCCACATATGGATGATGAAATGAGATGTTTCATCAACCTCTCACATGGTCCAGGAGAGTTTTCACAACATGATTACTTTAAATTGCTCATTTCGGAGGTATTTGATATATGTTTGTGCAAATGAGCAGGTGTTTCTGCTGACTGATCGGCAATCTGCAATTAGACCCCAAGGAACAAATTGCTCATTGTGGTTAGGGGCCATTAGCCACTGAAATAATGACATCTGTCATAATTTTCATACTTCATCCTGTCCTGGACCAAACTATACTCGAAACGAACGCCTGTTTCCTAAAATAAACCAACCCAGTTTTAACAGGTCTCCTCTAGTCACCATTTTAGTGAGTGTTTTGGGGTTGAATAATACCTAATAATTATTGACTGTTTCCCCTATGCCTGGCATTGTATAAAGGTCTTTACAAACAGTGTAACTTGCCAAGCTCACATGAAAACTCTGTGAGGTAGATACTATCCTTCTCCTCATGTTACAGGTACAAAAACTGAGGCACTAAGTTTGATATTTCACATCCAGAAGGGAGCAGAACTTGGATCCATATTTTGTGCTATTTAACTCTTATGATATATACTGACACAGGGACTGTGCATCATTTGGCTAGCAAGATGCTCATAATATATTTTTAAGGGAACAATATAACATTTATTCAGTGTCTGCTGTATAGCAAGGACTTCCCCAAAACTCTTAATATCCAGTCAAGAATTCTATACATGAAAAACACACAGAGAGCTTAAGTAATTTGCTCAAGTTCATAGAGTTAGTAAGTAGCAGGGTGGAAGTCAACCTGGTGGTTGCCAGGGTCTAGGAGCGGCTCATAATATATTGAAATGATGGAATGAAGTTTAGGCAATCTAGTTTTGCATAAGGAGCCAAAACAAGATATTGGGTCTAAAATAATGGAACATTTATTTAATGCAGTGATTCTCCATAGCGGGGCAACAGCACATGCCTCAGCAGGGGCATTTAGAAATAGGTGGGGTCATATCTGGTCATTTTGGTTGCTACATTGACCTGTGACATTGGCGGTCTCTTAGGATGCTAAGTGTCCAGCAGTGGGCCAGACAACTCTAGACAACAAGGAACTGCCTGGTTCCAAATATCAGAGACTGTTAAGAAACACTGACAAAGTGGAATAGTAAGAATTTAAAATGGTTATATAAAAGTCAAGGATGGCAAACCATTGTTTAATTTTTAATAAATAAGGGGTAAGAGAGCCTTAAAAAATTAAAACTTTGAGTGTGGTTTCAGAACACAGACTTGGTAGCTTTCTTGCCATCCCCTTTGATGGGAGAGAGAGAAAAATTTCTGTGATTAAGGGCAAATGAGATTCAACATGAAATAAATCAATACTAAAGCATTCTAGTAGAATGCCTTAAAAATGGAACATTGTTGATTTTTCAGACACACTGGCCTATCTTCCAGCTGTTTTCCACTATTTTTATGTCTTTTGTGATGCAATAAAGCTCTCCTGGTCAACTCCAGTCTTCCTTTTGCAGCTGCCCCAGAAATCAGTCGAGTACCGAAGTTTGCTTGAGAAGTCAGTATCTGTACTAAAACATATCTTTGTCTTTTTTTCAATCAAGTCACCAAATCCTTCAAGATCATTCATTTCTGTGTTTTCTTTCCAGCATCTTAGGTCTGCAGTTTTAATTTCATGCACAGTGACTTTGAGCTTTCTTTCTTGAGTTTGCAGATCATTGAAAATGTTGGATTTTCTATTTATTTGCCTATAGAATTTGGGGAGGTAGGAGATGAGTAACTTACTTAAATCCTTTGTAGCTGCCTGTGGGGACAGTGTCCCTGGCCTCCCTGTGGCCCCCTTCCTACCGTCACCACAGTGAGCAAATGGCCGCCCCGCTGCAGGCGGAACACGAAGGCCTGGTGCTCACCTTCAGGCGCTCCTCGGCAGTGCAGTGGCGGGGGGTGGGGGGGCGGGTTGGGACAATGCAGAGGGACGGCTCTGACACAGACATGAAGGGTAATTCTTCCATCTAGAACATTCCGACTCCCCCCACCCTGCCACTCCACACCCATCTCACATGCGATATCTAAACAAAATAATTGAGGCAAGTCTGGATCCTGAATCCATCCTTATAAATCAAACTAAATAGAACTCTTTGGGAGTGACAATGTTAGGTATACTCAGCTCACTTAATTTGAAAAGCAAAGGCTAGATAAAGTTAGGTCCCTTTGAGAGAAGTGTCTAGAATTTATTATGCATAATAATAAATTATTATTTATTGATGAAAACATTGGGCCAGTTTGCTCCCAACTTTTGCCTCCCACAGAGAAGTTATTCTGAGGACTATCCTGTTGGTCTGTGAAGAAAGTAGAGGAGATGGTGGCATTTCTCTCTGGAAACTTCCAGCTGGCGGCCACCCACAGCCCTGGCGAAGCGGTGGTGGCGAACCCACACACTCTCCCCCCATCACTGCCTTTCCTCCCTCTGGACTCTTGGTCCTAATTTTGATTTTAGAAAGTCCCAGTGTGAGAACTACAAATTAAAAGTTTCAGGACTTTCCATACTGCCCTTAGCACTGGGAAACCCTGACTGGGAAAATAGCCTTGATGACAGTAAAAGCTTTTTTAACATTTACTGTCTGTATGAGGACAGGGGACAGTGATATGCCTCACCTCCATGCTCTGTAAATATCATTTCAAAAGTTTTGAATTATCCTTTTTGTCTTACAGTAGAGCCATGTTCAGGGAATTCATAAGCTAATGTTTAAAATATTTTATTCATTTATTTTTAGGGAGAGGGGAAGGGAAGGAGAAAGAGTGGGAGAGAAACATCAATGTGTCGTTGTCTCTCACCTGCCTTCCACTGGGGACCTTGTTCCACAACACAGCCACGTGCCCTGACTGGGAATTGAACCAGTGACCCGTTGGTTTGCAGGCCGGCACTCAGTTCACTGAGCCACACCAGCCAGGACCTAATTTTTTAATTAAACATGGTCGTAGTAATAGCAACCACAGCCTTGTTCCTAGAGCCCAATGAAGCCATAAAGGGTGCGTGTGTGCAAGTGTGTGTGTATTTAAGGTTTAGATTTCTTCAAAGACTCTCTCCCAATGTATTTGCTCAAGTTGGACCTGCTCGTGTTCCCAGCAGCAGATTGAGCCTCCCCAGGAGCAGAGGGGAATGGTTGGGCGTGTAGGCACAGACTTAGAGTGCAAATCCAGGCCCGGGCTCTTGCCAGCTGTGAAACTTCAGCCATGTCCCTCAGATCTCCAAGCCTCACAGTGCTTGTTACACAAGGAGGGTAATGATATCAGGTCACAAGAGTGTGTGAATCGGGTAGGGTGGTGGGTGTGCCAGCAGCTCAGCAATGGATGCTACTGCCTATTTTGTAGATTCAAAAGCTGAAATCAGGGGACAGGAAAGCAAATGACCCCCAAGCAGCCGAACTTGCCCCAGAAGAACTGGGTGTGAGGCCAGGAGTCCTGACCAGTTGCTTTGCCTCCTGCAGGTCTGGGTGGTCCTGCTGGTGCTGCTACTTGGAAACGGAGTGGTCCCTATCAAGTCTCTCCCTGCTGTGCTGGGAAGAGCTGAGCCCCATTCACAACCCTTGGATGCCCTGCAAGAAGCTCATCATGCTGACAGAGTGAGTGAGGTTCCAATCAGGCTAACGGGTATAGCTGGCTTCCAAGCATGCACACCACCTTCCCTTGGCTTCTCATGCCTTACTGTCCAGAGAGGCAAAGGGATCAGTTCTGAGAATCACCGCAACACCAGGTGCCTGCCTCTGGCTCGGGGCAGAGATGGGTTTGCGGCTGTATTAGCATCTCTGTAACTTCTGACTCTGACTCCTCTCCTTTCCCAACAGAGACATGAAGTTCTGGCATGGCTTAGTGATCGCACTTGTGTCCGTTGTCCTACAGGCCTGCCTCCTCGCAGCCATCAACTACCTGCTCTGCAGGCACATGGGTAACTGGCTCAGCATCCCCTCCCCTCCTAGATACTCCCAGGGACCATTCCCAAGCTTGTCCAAAGGGAGCCTCTGAACATCACTGCAAAACCGCAAGGATCCGCTGGCTTGATGGCCCCTCACCAAGTAATCCCCAGTCTGAGCCAACCTCTTTCTGGCTGGGAATGACAGCCCTGGGTCCTTCCACTACCCAGACCTTCTGCCCAGAGACAAACTTCTATAATGCTTGTGAGGGTGGCCTCATTTAACCTGGGCCTAATTAATTTTCTTCAGCACCGTGAAAGGACTGAACATGAATAAATGGCTTTGAATTGCAACAGAAGAGAGTATGGTTAGACTAGGAGATCATCTTAAACTCTTGACCTGCTTCACAATGGGAAGTGGAGAAGCTATGTCTTAGGAAGATATTACAATTAGGAAAATAAAATATTTCTTTGGCTAAGACAGGAGATTGGACAGGATAACGTTATGAAGGTTTTTTTCCAGTAAAGGATTTTTAGGCTTCTCTTTCATTCATTCAATACAACAGGGGAAAAACAAAAATCTCTGCCCTTCAGTAACTTACATTCCATGAAGTAACTTATATTCCATGAAGGTACAGACAACAAATGAAATAAGTAAAATACATGGGCTAGATTATAGTAAGTGCTAGGGAGTAAAAAACAAACAAACAAACAAAAAACAAGGCAAGGCTATATGAATTGAATGGTGGTTAGCATCCCTGAGATGCTGACATTTGAGTGTAAGCTTGAGGGAGGTGAGGAGGGAGCCAAGGCCCTGAGGCAGGAGAGGGTTTAGCCCATCACAGCCCCAGCAAAGGGAGCCGAGGAGCAGGCAAGGCCAGAGAGGAAGGAGGAGTGAGGCCATGCAGGGTCTTCAAGGTTGGGGCTCTGGCTTTTTCCCCGAGTGAAGTGAGGGCGGTGGCGGTGGAGGAGTGCTGAGATTTGATAAGGTCCTTCTGGACGTTTTTCCCTAAATAAGGGCTGTGTGCAGAAATGGGAAGTGCCTGACCCAGGGAGCTTTCCCTTTTGACTCTTGTCCTGTTTCCTCTAGCCAAAAAGAATGAACAGTTACTAGAAAGAGCCAGGCTACAAGCTCCTGGGCCCAGCCCTGCCCCGCACCACTCGCCTGCTGCCCAGAAGACGGAGACTCGGACAGAGAGAAGGGCCCCAGTGCCTGAGCCCCATTACGGGAGTGAGTAATGAGGCGGGGGCGAGATGGTCACGAAGTGTATTCCGCTCTGTCTGGACCTCCAGGGAGCATCCCTGCAGCAGCCCAAGTCTGTCCCTGACAGCCCAAAGCCACCCGGGGTTCCTCACACCCGGCCCAGCAAAGGCCTCGCCGCCCTACCTTTTCTGGAAAGTTGTTCATCCTATCACATGGGACAGACCTTGTTGGGTTTGTGTAGGTCGAAGCTCTTTTCTAGGTTTGGTCATGTGTGAACGACTCCAGAGGGGCTTGGGGACTCTTTCTGCTCATATATTTGTAATACTAAGTCATCTTTTCTTTCACCTGGCCAGTTAGTGGTGGAGCCAAGATTTTCGCTGACTGCCTAACTGTAACCATGGCTGGTAATATACTATGCATTGCAGCAGCTGGTCAGTGTCATTGGCTGCTCCCGGAAGCTGACTCAGCCACATTTCCAGAGGCTTCTTCTCCACGGTCTTAGATTCTCATAGGCATCTGGGTGTTTTAATAAATATGAGGCTTAGTGATGGTTGAAATGCACCGTCTGCCTGTGGCAACTGGGACAACAGGTTCACCACCCTCTTGTTTTCTATCTCAGGGCGTGGGAGACCCACCAGGTCACTATTCACACATAGGAAACTGTTTTTTTCCGCAGCAAGATAATAACCCCTGGAGGTCCACTCACCAGAGATTATTCTTTTTCCATTGGTTTATCTCCTGATTGATTTGGGCTTGCTCCATCCTTCTAATCTGATCTTTTGAGTTGGAGAGATCTGGCTGTCAGGCTTCCTCTGCACTGAGATGAGGCCTCAGGGCATATGGGGACCAGAAGGTGTTGCTCACGAGTATTCAGTATTTCAGCGGAAGGGGAGAGGCATTGGCCTCATCGTGACCGCTGGCCCCACAGCTGCACCAGAACCTGGTCAGGGTCAGAGGCTCTTTTGTTGTCAGGGAGCTCAGAGACCAATGTCCAATCTTCTTGTTTTCCAGGAGTCAAAACCAGAATACAAAAAAGGATGTAACCTTGCCTAGAGTTAGTGACAGGTTAGACTGGAACCTGTGCCCATGACTTCCGAGGCCAGAGCTGTTTGCTTTGGGCCACATTGTCTCAGCATGTCCCTGTTTATTCCACCCGAGCACAGACAAGCCTACTTAGTTTTGGATGGAGCTGGCCAAAGCAACAGTGCCTAGACTCTTGGCCATGCCCCAGCCTGTTTTTGGAGGCTCTCCTACCACCCTGTCTATTCTACTCCTTCTTCCCCTTTTGGGAGCTCTGTATCTCTCTTCCCCACTCCTCTTTGCATTGCTGGCTCTGCCTTTGTCTTTGTCTCATCATCCCTTCCATTGTTTCTATTCTTTCTTAATACCCTCCACTTTCTTTAGAAGAACAATTTCTGTTTCTCCGTAGATGACAGCGACACGTCCTCGGATAGCTCCGACACCTCGGACAGTACCAGCAATTCGTCTCCCACCTGCCAGGTAATGGACACTCCTAGTGAGCCCAGACCTTCATATGTAGCCTGGGTTCCGAGAACTCAGGCCACCCTGGCTACCTAGATGGGAGCAAGGGAGGAGGGGCTTCTTGAGCCACTGCAGTGTCCTCAGGTGAGGTGGTCAGGCTTTCCTCACAGCCTGATATCCACACGGATCATCCAAAGCAGGTCTGAGTGGGCTGTAAAAATGGAAGTGCTAATAGGAAGCCTCCTCCCCCCCGCAAATCCATCCCTGGTCCACTACTCTGAGTCTTGACCTCATTTGAATTGATTCTCTACATCTCTCTTTCTTAAATCCATTTATCTCCTGCAGACAGGAGGAACAAAGTGTGGGCATCTTCCCCACTGCCCTGGCCCTGCTCTCAGATCCAGCTGCCTGGGGCCCAGGCTCCCTCTCATCCAGCCTAGGGCAAGCCTCTTTGAATGGGAGTTCCATCCTCGGGTCCTACCTCCTCCAAACGGGGTAGGAGTCTTGACCTGCACTTTTCTGTTCTTTTTCCCTAAGGCCACCAAGGATGTGAATTACACACAAGTGGTCTTTTCAGCCACTGGAGAACGAAAAAACAAATCTGCCCTGGACTATGAGAATATAAAGGAAGCGACAGATTATGTCAACATCAATCCAAAAAACCACAAACACAATTTCTAGACTTCTGTGAACCCTGCTGTCTCAGCCAGCGGAATACTCTGGAATGGCCTTGTAAATTGTAGGGTTTTTAAAAAAAAAAATCTTATCTGAGGATATGTTTATTGATGTTTATTGATTTTAGAGAGAAAGGAAAGGAGGTGGAGAGAGAGAGAGAATCACAAATGTGAGAAACATTGATTGGTTGCCTCCCATATGCTCTCCAATCGGAGATTGAGCCCATGACCTTTTGTTGTACATGATGGTGACGATGCTCTAACCAACTGAACCAGTGGCCAGGACTAGGGTTTTGTTTTTGTTTCTGTTTTTATTATTATTTTTAAATAGAGTAAAGTTCTCTACAAATTCTTGTACTCAATTTGTAAGAGAATTACTTTTTGTTTTTTAACAAGGCATAGGAGAAAAAAATAGGCTTGTATCTCAGCAAGAAAGATTCGGATGAAATGTTAGGAAGAACTACCAGGATAAGTATGAAAACATCAGAGCAGATCAGAAGATAAAGTGGTGAAGTCTCCATAGAAAATTTTTTAAAAATACTTGAATCAGCTATAAGAGAGCCCTGTTTGGCAATCTTACAATTAAATTACTCTTTGAGCTCTTTGATTATTGGCAATAACAACTTCGTTAAAAGTTTTAAATAAAATGGCCATCACCAATTTCTCTTTTCCTCTTGCCCAACTGGCATGTGTTTGTTGCGTAATCCTGTTTTGCCCTCAGACCTCTAAATAGTCTCACTGTCTAAGAATGCCCACTGTCATAGGAATTCACTGTTTTCTATGAACAAAAGCTGACAAATAGAGCCTGGTGCATGCCAACCAGCATCGCAACAGGTTATTATAAGAAAAATCTTTCTAAATTTTATCCAGTAAAATTCAATATCTATTCCTGGTTTGTTGTTTCTTTTTTAGTCAATTAGGAATAAAAGAACACTTTCTTAAATTGATTAGAAATAGCTTATCTCAAACAGCAGATACATGCTGTTTAACTGTAAGATCCTAGACATGGTCCTTTCAGATAATGAGCAAAGTCAGAGTGTCCACATGCCCATTTCCTTCATTATCTAATAGTGCTCTAGAAGTGCTACGCAGTTCAATAAAACACTTAGCAATAATAAGGGCTATAATTATTGGAACAGAGGGTGAAATTTGTCATTGTTTGCAGCTATCTTAGTTCTAGAAAACTTCAGGGAATTAAAATGTTTCAAAATTGATTAGATGCAATAAGCAGTAACTAAAGAAACATACAGTATACTTTCTTCAACTGCTAATTAGGACAGCAAATGAAAAAAAATTGCTCATTGTAGCTAAACACCTCAAAAAGTGGGAACCCTAGGAATACACAGCCAAATTCAAACCGCTGTTGAGTGGCATTCAGATCTTAGAGACAACTTATGAACTTGCTTTGTCAGCTGGCTATAAATGACTTTCTACACCTGGGACCAGAAACAGTGGGAGGATTTCATATTCCCAGGTTCCCCTTTCTCAAGAAGATCTGAAGAAATGGCTCTGGAATTGGAAATTACTGCCAACCTACATGTCCCTCTACCTTTAGCCTGCCATTGTTGTTGTTCTTCTCCTGCTTGATTTGAATTTTTGTGTGCCCCCCCCAATGCCTGACAGTTCATATGTTGAAATCCTAACCCCCAACATGATGGTATTAGGAGGTGGGGCCTCTCTAACCCAGTCTTGAAGGAGGTACCATTATGAGTGAGATTAGTACCTTTATGAAAGAGACCCCACAGAGCTCTGCAGCCCCTTCCATCCTGTGAGGATGCCACGAGAAGCCCGCAGCCTAGATAAGGGCCCTCACAAGCCACGCTGAAACCCTGACCTTGGACTTCTGCCTTCAAAACTGTGAGAAAAAACTTTCTGCTGTTTATAAGCCACTCAGTCTGTGGAATTTTGTTATGGCAGCCAGAATGGACAAAGATATCTCCTTTGAAACTTTTCTTAATGGGGAGAAAGAGATTCTATTGATCAGAGAGGTAGAATGAAGACTAAACACTGATAACAACACTGTCTTTGCATCTAGAGGTGAAACTCTACTTCTTTTTGATCTCTTTTGAAAAGAAAAAAAGTAAACAGAGGACTTAGAGGTTCAGACATTCTGCAGTGCGCTCAAGAGACTGCAGAGGGACACTGCCGAGCGTCCTGCAGAATTCTGGATAGGCCCTGGGAGTGGGGAGGAGCACTCATTAAAAGAAGACTGGAGCAGCTAGGTGGGTGGGATCAAAGTGTGCACGGCCTAGTTGTAGAGACAGGCAAGAACATGTGCAAAATAACATGTGACAGGGGGGAATTAACACAGAGCAGTGAAACCAGAGCCTATCAATGTTAGGCCAACTGGCTACAAGAGTGTTAGGATTAGGTGGCCCTAATCAGAGAAAACATCTCACAAAGACATGTTTTCTGGCCTGAGTTTAGGAAGAAGGGTAGAATCTATTGATGGGAGAAGAAGAAGAAGAAAAATGAGCAGGCCCAACTGAATGAAGGCTCTCTGAAAAAAGGAAAATGAAAAATGGAAGTCTCTCTGACCGCATGGACAAATGCCTGCGCCCGGGCTCCGAGACAGTGGAGATGCTGTGCATCAGGGAGTTGTTGTCAGAGAGAACAGAGACCTGAATGTCACCAACCACCTGATTAAGGTCTCTAATGAACGCTGCTATGATTGGCTTCAAAGGCATGACATTTTATAGCAAATAAATATATTGTGGAGGTTAACATTAGCACCCACCCCGACTGCTTATAAGGGGAAGGCACTCTTGGAAAGTGTTGGTTAAGAACTGAATTGAAAATGTGACTCCAAGTGACTTGCAGAAGTTTCATTGACTGTCGAATAAAGAGAAGGGATCGTTTCATGTCCTGAGGAGTTTGGGCCAATAGGCTGATGACTGGAGCCAGCTAACAATTTGAACTACTCCATAAAGTCACTGCTAGCCCTATTTCTAGAAATAAAATGGCCTTTTGCTTGTGATACTCTGCGAGTCTGGAAGGTTAGCTGCTTAAATCTGTCTGAATGGTCCCCTGTATGAGCAATCATACTTTGAGGAGCATAGTTCCTAGCACGGAGAAGTTATTTTCTCCCACATTGCATGTCATTGGAACCTCCAGGCGACAACCGTGCTGCCCGACTCTGGGTTCCTCTGTGGATGAGAATTGGATGAACACCTCTCCCAAGGCCTCTTTATCTTATAACAACATACAGAGAAACTGACTTGGTACTGGCAACCAGTTGATGGTTGATTACATGATAATAATGAACTGGCATTATACAAGAGACCAGAATGAATTTGACCTGTCTTCAAGGAATTCTTATTCTAAAGAAGTAAGCACTCAAATGCTCACCATAAAACTTCAGCACAATTCTATGAGGGACACTGTCTTATTGGCCAACAAGGCCCACTAGGATGAAGAGGTATTTTATGCCCATCATCAGTGGTGTATTTTTTGCTCCTGGGATCAGTGTAATTTCTGGTCCAGAGAGGCTTGCCAGAGGCCTTCTAACCCAAGCCCCCAGCCTCTAAACCAAACACATTATAATAATGCCATCTTATCTGGGGTCTTTGTTTTTGTTCTTGAGGTCCCACTAGCTCAATCAAACATTTGCCCTTTCAGGCAGGAATTTCTACATTCAGTCTTTTACCTGCAGTAGAAACCTCTTGTCCTTTGCCTTTCCTTGCCAAATACATCCTCTGTGAGCTTAGCAAGAAAGAAGCACATGTCCAGGTGTCTCAGGGGAACTGGGTCAAATGAGAGACCAAGATTCTAGAATTTTAGGGAAGATTAGTATGGCCTTGGAGATGGGAGGCTGGTGACTTTCCCAGCCTGTCCCGTGGGTCATTACTGCTTCAGACCCAGTTTCAGCTCCACACTGCCATCGTGTGGCTCCAGGGAAAATCGCAGAACACTCTTGTTTATTTTTCCTCTTAAACTGAGTGAAGGAGTTCCAGGAAGGTTGATTCCCACTCTGGCCCCTCTCAAGATTAAAATTTTACTTTAGTTTACCTATCCCCTTATCACTGTCCCTAGGAAACAAAGATGCCTAGAAATTTTCTGTTTGTTAAAGAGTTTTATTTGTCAATTTCAACCACATCTCTGGGTTTCTGACCCAGCAGGGAGGTCCTGCAGTCTGGGCTGTCTATAGCCTATTAAAAGATCTGTTTATATACTGAGACTTCCAGCCAAGATGGAGGTGTAGGTAGGTACACTATGCCTCCTTGCACAACCAAAAGAAGGATAACGACAAACTTAAAAACAAAAAATAACAAGAACTACCAGAAAACTGAACTGTATGGGTGTCCGATAACCAAGGGGTTAAAGAAGAAACATTCATATAGACTGGTAGGAGGGGCAGAGACAGGCAGCCAGGATGGAGATAAGCAGGTGGGACGGAGAGGGCCTGTGGTAGGGTGGTGACTGGAGGACTGAGTGGGTGAGACAGCAGCCAGCAGACCGGGGTGGTCGCACATTTGCATGTGGATAAACCTGAAGGAAGAGTTGGGGAGTAAGACAGACCGGGCCATCCAGGGTTCCAGTGCAGGAAAAGAAATCCTCAAAACCTCTGGCTGTAAAAATCTGCGGGGGGTGTGGCAGCAGGAGAAACTCCCAGTCCCACAGGAGAGTCTGTTGGAGAGACGCACAGGGTCCTAGAACATACACAAACCCACCCACCTAGGAATCAGCACCAGAAGGCCCCAATTTGCTTGTGGGTATCAGGGGAAGTGGCTGAAAGCCAGCCAAGAGCTGAGCAAGTGGCATTATTTCCTCTTTGACCCCTCACCCACATACAGCCTCACCACACAGTGACCTGGGTTGCCCCACTGTGGTGAATACCTAAGGCTCCACCCCTTACAATGTAATAGGTGTGGTGAGACAAAGAGATATGGCTCAAATAAAAGAGCAGATCAAAGTTCCAAAAATAGAACTAAGCCATGAAAAGATAGCCAACCTATCCAATGAACAGTTCAAAACACTGGTAATCAGGATGCTCACAGAAATGGTTGAGTATGGTC